ACTTTCAAAACAGGCTTTATGAGAAACTGATAACACTGCATTGCAGTTGAACAGGTGGATTAACCAAAGGTATGCCGATTTGCTTGCTGTTTGTTCAGTGTGAAATTTGCTTTTAGTCCTTTTGAGGCCGACTTCTCTAATCTGTTGCCCTCCAAAAGTGCTGAGCAGAACATCCCAAATACCCCCAACTGCCTACGGTTCTGCCATTTGCATAGCTAGCCTGAGGATTTGGGGACTTGTAGTCCAAAACATTTGGAGGGCAGTAGATTGGAGGAGGCTGTTATCATTGCCATGGTTACACAATTGCTACTACTAGAAATGGTTGATATTATAGAACAAAGTGTGTGTGTGGCAGATAAGCATCTGTGGCGCCTTTTTGCATAAAAGGTGTCAAAATAGCAAACTGAAAGTGATAATAACTAGGCCATCCCTCCACATTTGCTGGGTTTAGGAGCACATGTGAAAAATCACAAATTAGAAAAGCCTTTTTGTAACCTGAGAGAATCTGCTGGTTCTCCAGGATATTTTTGTGGCCAACATCTGCCAGAGGACCTATGCCCCTTCCACACAGCTGAATAGAATCCCACAATATCTGCTTTGAACTGGAGGATATTGCAGTGTGAACTCAGATAACACAGTTCAAAGCAGATACTGTGGGACTTTCTGCCTTGATATTCTGGGTTACATTACTGTGTGGAAGGGCCCCTAGAGATTCCTAGAAAGAACATTTTAATCAAATCCTCAAATGCCAAGCCAATAGTTTGGGACCTTGTCAGACTTCACTGATTTTACTGGCAAACATCCCAGCTGTCTAGGTTTGAGAGACTCTTGTCTCTGACTTGCTTTGGAACCAAAAGCACTGAGAAAAAGGCTGCTGTTGAGTAGAAACAAAATCTGTAACAGAGTGAGTGTTGAATTTATGCGAGGAGACTTGGGCCCCTTCCACATATCTGAATAAAACCCCACATTATCTGTTTTGAACTGGAATATATGGCAGTGTGGACTCAGATAACCCAGTTCAAAGCAGATATTGTGGGATTTTCCGTTTTGATATTCTGGGATATAGGGCTGTGTGGAAGGGCCCAGAAATTCATCATTCTTCACTCACTGATCTTTCAACACAGAGCAGACTCAACCTTTAGGTAGAGTGATCCAGCCTCCTGACAGGTTCTGAATGTATATGCTTCACATGATCTTCTCTGAAGCCCCTAAGCTTACCTGTCTGTTCTCAGAGATAGTAAAGGATTCTGTCCTGATTTCACTATAGAATGCATCTGCTTCTCTGAAATGCATAGGGTCACTGAAAGTTGAAAGGTGACTTGAAGACATATACATGCATACATACTGGTCAATTTTTATACCTGAAATGGGACATCAGTGCCCCATTTCAGGTATAAAATAAGAAGGGGGCTCTTATTTACCTCATGTAGCAGAAATGTTGTGAACCAACTGTGTTCATACAGTTATTAGCCCTTGGTTTAACCCACTTAATACTGCTAGATGGTTTTGGGGGCGGGGGGCGGGGGGCAAGATGTCATTCTCAAGACAAAAGATTAAGCCATTTTATGTGCTGCTAATCTGTAGTAAAGATCACTGAAACAAATCTCTTGACATGTCCCACATCTTATAAAAATCTTTATATGATCATCTGTGAGCAAGAGGTGACAAAAAGAAAAAAAAACCTCCTTTTTTTAAAGCTTAGATTGGTTCACATGCTGATTGTATTTATGGTAAAGTTTAAAAACTCACCAGCATTCTGTTGCCCTCTTCAATTAGGGTTTTTTCCTATACGAGTAATTGTTTCTGATAATTAACAGATTGCTTATGATAGTAGTAATATTAAGGGGGGACATTAGAAGGAGGGTACTGGTCCCCTTGTCTTTTGTTAATCATTGCCTACTGATAACCTGTGGCATTGATGACAGGTTCCTGTTTGCATTGGAAGAGTTGGTGTGGAGACACAAGGTTGCTAAGATCTGTCAGATGACACTTGCTCACATGAGACTATTAACAGGGTGTTGCAGCCGGTTTTAAAACAAGTTTGCAACTCAGGAGTGGATGAGAAAGCAGCAACCTCTCTATCCAAGGCCATCTGGTTAGGTCTTGTGATCATATAATTGTTAGCTACAGAAGCATACCAGGAAGCAAGATATTCACAGTTCTTTAGCTATTGCATCTGACAGCAAGTTGGCGGAATTACTGAAACAAACAAGCTATGCTGTTGGTTTAAGTTTTTTAAATTATATAGTATAGTATAAGACTTATACTATACCATAAATAGTTCTATAGATAGTGAATATTTGCAATCAGGAGGAGTTAGGACCTACTGTTTTATATGGAGCAAAGCAACTGAATGCTGTCCAGGTTGGGGCTGCTGATCCTCCTAGTGAGAAGGCTGATGGCCAATAGTTTTGCTTATCGCAACTCAGTATTTCTTTTGATATTTTTACATACACATCGGTTATTTTGAAGAAGCTGTGATTGTGTGTTTGACTGAGAGGGGGACACCAGTGAGCTCAAAATGTGTGGAGGTACACCGAAGGCTTCAAACAGTACAGGAAACAAAAAGGAGAAAGCAAGGAAAATCCATGTTTCCGCTTCCAAACTGGTAAATGACTTTTCAGTGCCGAGATTGGATAAAGCAAGGAAACCACTTGTGCCAGAAAAGGGTGCCAGACATTCCAAAAGAGTTGCTGGAGAACTATCAGGCAGGTATGAAAGCTTAATCCAATATCTGTATTGTGTGGTACAGGAATCTTATGTTTGAACACATGTAACAGGGAAAAAAATTAACCTTGAAATGAGTTGTCACTCTTTAAATGCTGAAACTGCTATTCCAGGGAATCTCTTGATAATTGCTATCAACTTCAGAAAGTATTACTAGATGTTAACAAATTATTGATCTTCATGTATGTTAATCTAAAATGACTATTGCTTAGATACAAACATTTATATCTGAAAAGTTGAGTTTGCGTCTAATGCCTCCTGCTTTTCATCAGTCTTTAATGGTAGTCCAAAGCTGATATTCAGTCTGTCAAGTGAGCATTAATATAAGGAAAATTAATAGAGGCATGACACAGTATCATGCAGTTGGTGTTATTAAAATCTGGCTATTATCCTCTTAACTATAACTGTTAGTATTTAGCAACTCCTTAATGTGTGGTTGAAAGGTTTGGGTTTTCTTTTTCTTTTTTTTTAAAGTCTTTTAAAGGAATAGCCTGTTTGTGAATAAAAGAATAAAATTGAAGATTCAGTTAAAATAAAATAGCAATTTAAATGGAAATACATTCCTTTTTGATCTTCCAAATGCTATATGTTAGGTGGTATTTAAAAATACTTTTGTTTGAGAGAAAGTATAATTAAGTAAAAGTTAAACAGATATCCAAAATATTACCCACATATTTCAGTGTGTTAATAAATCTTATTGCCACCGAAGAATGAATTAATTGCTTTGTATGCTCCTATATAAATCTAGAGATTTTATTCAAAACATTGGGTTGACTTGTCCATGGATCAATGTAAGATCTACATCTTAACTCTTATTTAAAAACCAAAACCAAAACAAAACAGTTGTTTTATCTTAATAGAGGGACAACAGGCAAGAGCTTAGTACATTCCAGGAGAACCTAAAAGAAGCACCAATCCCTTCTACTGTCTTGGTTGTGACATATTTCTAGTCTTCTTGAATTCATGGGTGGGAAAATGGCAGTGGCAAAATTATGCCCTTGACTTATACATGAGGTTGTTGTGTACACAAGTATATAGAATTAGGTGCATTTTAGGGAGGGGATGTAACTGAATAAGGAACCATGATTTATTAGGTTAGTATTTGCTGTTGTGCTTGAGATTTTATAAAGTCTTTTCAAAAATGAAAAATCAACCTGAGTATTTTTTTAAAAAAGAGCCTTAGAAGACTAGTTTACACAAACTAGAATGAATGATTTCTGGGGGGAACTAAAATTACCCACTGCTTGACATTAAGAGAGGTTCCCTCAATATTGTAAATATTTGCTAGGGTATTTTTGAAGAATGTGGGTAAGACAACACTTTTTGAATTGGTGTTGTCTTATCCAAAAGCATTATATTGATCACAAGCATAAAATCACATAATAATGAAAAGAAGATGCTTAGCTGACAGAGGCTTGGGATTTTTTTTTAAGGAAACAGTGTTTTCAAATTATGAAAATAGCATCAACTAGTTGTCTCCACTGCATTGGCAGGCATCCATCTTTGGGTATCTTAGCAGAGGAGAAACTACTAATTCTTTGAGTCTCCTTTCTCGTTTCCTCTTTGGTGCATGCCATCCAAAAGCTACAACTTGGCAGGGACAGTCCCAATTAATCATCTGACATTTTACCTTTCCAGCTGCTTTTAAAAATGTCCCAATTTCTCTTTTCTCATTTTCCGCCTTTGTCTACAGATTACTGCAGCTGCTGCAAAATGAGTTTGAAGTGCAAACATTATAGTTTTCAAGTTATGATGACCCTAAGGCAAATTTATCAAGGGGTTTCCTTGGCAATGATTCTGACATAATGAATCAGATTAACCTCCTACAGCAAAACAGGGCATCTTAGTCATGTTCAGTCATAGGTTCTACATAGAACAAGACTTACAATCTATGTATTCTACAGCATTGTCACTTGTAGAATTGTAAAAAAAAAAGGGAGGGTTCCCTATTGAAGGATATGGGGACCTTTAGGATTTGAAATGGGTTCAGGAAATGCAAGCATAATCATACCTCTGGCCAATGGTACACCAGAATTTCAAATTGGGATCAGAAAATATCTCACTCAGTTCAATTTTTGTATCCAGGTGCATGAGGGTCAAGGATGTTTGTAACAATGTTCTTAGGAAGGGACCCCACAGCAGGTAGCTTTTGTATAAATCTCTTTATACTCTTTTGAATGACACAATTTCTACAAATCCAAATGAATAAATTGACTGTTGTCTTTACAGAGAAAGCTGAAAAATTCATTCCTTCTTGCATTTACAATTCACAGCTGGTCGTGTTCAGGGTTTGACCAAAATGAAATCCGCTTGATAGTGTACCAAGATTGTGAGAGGCGAGGCAGACAGGTCTTATTTGATTCCACTGCAGTCCACAAGACTGATGAGACAGGGATTCAGGTATGGATATTTTTGTCTTTCATCAAACTATAAATGTTCTCTTTAAACCACAAGATCTACATGTTTTATAATCATTTATATTTTAATATTTTATGTTGCTATTTAAACTTTTAGACAGAACATTTGATAATTATGTGTCAATGTACTGGTTACAGCAGGCTTGGGCAAACTTAGACCCTCCAGGTGTTTTGGACTTCAACTCTCAGAAATCCCAGCCATCTTACCGAGTGTTAGGAATTGTATGAGTCGAAGTCCAAAATACCTGGAGAGCCAAAGTTTGCCATGCTTGGGTTACAGAGTGTTGGACTGGGATTTGGAGAACTATGTTCTAGCCTTTGGAATGGTAATATGGACGACGAAACTGGATCACGATTTTAGTCATGAGATGCATTGGGTTGTTATTGTTGTGTCAATATTGTGTATTATGCTTTTATGGTTTTAAATTGTATATTGTTGACTGTTGTACCTTTGTTGTAAACCGCGTTGAGTCGCCTGTTAGGCTGAGAAACTGCGGTATACAAGTAAAGTAAATAAATAAATTTGCCAAACTATGAAACTTGTTGGGTGTCCTTGGACCTGTCATGCTGTGCTAGTCTAACATGCTTCATACGGCTCTTGTGAGAATGAATAGAGGAGAGAAAGAAAACCATGCATGCTGTGTTGGGCTATTGAAAGAAAAGCAAAATATGAGTCTGGGGAGGGCAAAGTCCAGCCTGTGGACCAAAAGTGTCCCTTTATGCCAATTTTGTGATTTCCAGGAACCCTTAGTTTCAGTTTTTGAAACTAAGTGTCACTTAATTTTGCTCCACAGTTTTCTAGAAATGACTTCCAAGTCATTTTCTTGGTGTAAAAAGGCGTCCCCTAAGCCAAAAGCATCTAGGGCAGAAAATGTTGCCTATGCCTTCTAGAGAGTACTTGGAGATAAAAATGGCATTTTGTGCAGGGAGGTAGAGCAAGGGCTGTGGCTTTCCAATGGTCTGAGGAGGGGGTGTGCGTCCCCATATCCCCCAACAGTTACCCATTCCTGTTATGGCTGTAACCATGAAATAATAATGAGAATCAGTGTGATGTAGTGGTTTGAGCATTGGTTTATAACCAAAGTTCAAATTCCCAACTGACCATGGAAATCCACTGGGTGATCTTGGTCCATCTCCCAACAGTCATGTTTATTCAGAAGCTGAGCCCAGCTCCTTGCATGCAAGAGCCAGAGGCAGGAAAAGTTAGTTTTGTGGAGGGCAAGCAAAATTATTCTGGAAGTTATCCCAAAATGCACTTCTTCTAGGCTTAGGTAAAAGCGAGATTAATCATATGTCATTACTAATAGTTTCTGTTATAGCTTTTTCCAGTGGGTAGTCTAGAATAAAAAGCTGTAACAAGGTTTTCCCTACCACACTTCTTCCTTGTCAGCAGCTTGTGTTAAGCACATGATAACTAGCATTTTTTACTTTTTCCCTAGTGACAGTCACATTGGGGATTAGAGGAGTAGCCCTTTCATAAAAGCTGTATCTCCAAAAATAGAATGTAGATTGGTAGTAAAACGTGAAAGAGTCGATGTGCTTTATGGGAGGTTTTTTCTTAAGGTTAAGTAAGGGAAAGGGAGTTGGGCAAAGAATACTTCTTTGCAAAAAAAATATTCAGACAAAAACAAATTCACACTGTCTTTTTATTGTCGTTCAGAAAAACGGCCTCATTACTGAATGGGTTGAGATTTGAAAAAAGTGATGTTTCCAAGCTCAGAGCTGTAATTATTAATAATATCCTCTATAATCAGGGCTTCTTAAACTTCGGGTCCCAACTCTAAATAATTTGATGTTGGACTTCCAAAAATGTTTTTCTTAATGTTACCTAGTGGCTAAATGTATTGTCAAAGGCTTCCATAGCTGGAATCACTGGGTTGTTGTAGGTTTTTCGGGCTCTATGGCCATGTTCTAGAAGCATTCTTTTCTGACATTTTGCCTGCATCTATGGCAGGCATCCTCAGAGATTGTGAGGTCTTACCTAGTGGCTGTTTTAGACATTTACATGAACCTCTTGTAAAGTGTTTACAGTAGACTCTGCAGAACACGCTTCAGCTGCACTTTGTAAAAAGGAAAATCAGCCTGTTTAGCAAGCCTTGCAAATGCCAGTTGTTTAATTGTATACCTATTTTGTATAACAATATATCTGGGGTCACATAAAGGTTCTCATGTGGAAAGGGGTCATGAGTGCAAAAGTTTAGGAATCCCTACACTATATCATACATGTCCTCTATATCAGACATGTGTGTTGAATCAAAATGGCATTTTCGCTTAGGCTGTCTAGTGTTTTGAACGAGGTACATTTTGTGCCATTCATTTCTTAACTGAGAACTCACAGAGATGTCCAGACTAAAACTAAAATGCCTATATTGCACTGCCACGTGAAAAAAAGCCAGGCATGTGACTTGAACAGCTAGACAAACACCAGAGATAAATGCATACACATACATATAGTGATTAAAAGAAGCAATTAGTCAACAAGCCAAAAGTCCAAGATCTTGTAAAAGGAAACCATATCTAAACATGGTTTAGTCCATAGACGTGGGAATTTGTTTGCAACAAAAGAGCTTAGCTGCTTTGAGGAGAGTGCAGCCAATGAGAACTAATTAATTAATTAACAAGGCAGATGTGCTCTAGGCATTACTTCTTTAACTGAGAATGTGGTACCTGGGGCAGAAATAGCATCAAAATAACTGTGTTTCTATAGCTCTCCCTCTTTTCTCATTGTTGATTCTGTTAAAAAAATCCAGCTAGACAGAAGGCAAGAAAAAAGGGAGGCTAGATGGACATGGAAAGACTTTTAAAAGGAAATTCTTTATCAGATGCTTTGTTAACATGTCTGTAAATCATATATCATTTGCCCTGTTTTTAATAAGATACAGATAAAAGTGTAATTTATTATGTGGACTATAGTAAATTAAAACTGATTCTTTAATAAATGTCTTTGTTTTTAAAGTGCCATAGAACCTTTGGTTGTCATCACATATCGGGATGCATAGTAGTACAGCTTTTAGTAGAAATATGCAAGGGGGGAAGAAATGATGGAGATTCTGCTTTGTCATTTCTTTAATCTGGTAGGATGCTTCTGGGAAGCCATGTGGCAAATGCTGCCAAGAATACAGGGGATCCAATACAACTTTCCATAACTCTTCAATGGACAGCAGACACACTATCAAGGAAGACATTCCAAAGTATCAGGTAACTTGGCAGCTGAAATCTCTGTGCATATTTAGATCACATAAACTGAAAAATAGCTTCTGTACTGAGATCCCATCTCTTACTGCATTTTTGCATTCTCTACTTAAATACTGCTATCAAGTATCTGCCTAGAAAAAGAAATTGCTTCGTTTTCACAGTGGCTGCTATCTGGCGGAGATCAATATGAAGTTCATTTTCATTCAGTACATCTCCTTTTTCCAGTTTTTTAATTAAAAAAACTAGGTCAACTTGTCCATGGGGTTAATGTATACTACTTGTTGTGTGCAGATTAAGCATAGCTTCTTACCAGTGAGGGAGTCGACTACTGTTTTCACAGAGCTTTAAAATGCTACTTTAAGTGGATTGCAGCTTTCAGAATTCTTCTGCCAGCATGGCCACTGGCTGACTTCTGGGAGCTATAGTCAAGAAGTAACACCCTCAAGCTATCTTTTATTTTTGTTTCTGTTTATGCTTTGTCTAGAATTCAAGGTATGGCATGGTTGAGCGACATTAGAAACCGAATATAGTAAATCTTGTACAATTACAGTGGTATTTTTTCCTTTCTTACTTGTAGTACACCAGACCAGCATCTGATGTCAATATGTTGGGAGAGATGATGTTTGGTTCAGTAGCAATGAGTTACAAAGGCTCTACATTGAAAATTCACTATATACGGTAAGCTTGTTATCCTTGCACAGTGTGGAATTGCTGTTAGAACTTCTGAGTTGCCAGTAACACTGTTTATCCTTTCAGCTCTCCCCCACAGCTCATGATGAGTAAAGTGTTTTCTGCCAGAGTAGGAAGCTTCAGTGGAAGCACAAATAGGTAGGTCCTCTTTGCATTCTGATTAAGTTTTGTTTCCTTCTTACTGAAACATGCTTCCCATCCTTTCTTTAGAGAACATATATTAATGGTTTAAAGGTGCACAAGGACCCAGCTATTTCGGTTTACTGATTTGTTTCTGGGCAGAATTCCATATGAGCCTGCCTTATATTTGAGGTCTTTAGAGGAGGTCCTCCCTTTAGTCCCACTTGCCTTGTGTCCAAAAAGGAGAAGATCTTCCTGCTGATTGCTTCCAGGCCCTGGAACTCCCTTCTTAGGTAGACTAGACTGCCTCCCTCTTTGTGGCCTTTTTATTCCAGAGAACTGTTTGCTTTCCAAGGATTTTTTTTCTTTTTTTTAAGACACTACATGTGCCTTTTTAAAGTGTTCTCTAAACAGTTTTCACCTTACTGATAGCTTAATTACATTTTAACAATAGCTTTGTGTAAAATTTTGGGGAAAGGAAGTGGGATATAAATAAGTTAAATAAATGCAATTATAATGTTTCTGTTTTTTGATGATCCAAAACAAGGTTCTCAAAGTGTGCTCTGCGGAGCTCTTGAAACTCCATGAAGCATACCGAGAGGCTCTGCAGTTTCCTCCTCCTCCCAATCTCCATGCTTTCCCTCCTCTTTCATGCTCCTCCCCTTTACCCCGCCTCTATTCCTCCAAAAGCCTTTTTCCCTCAGCCCCCTCACCCTCAAAAGCCTTCTTCCCCCCCCCCCCTTGCTTCCCTTTCCTCCCTTGCTTCCCTTTCCTCCCATCACTCAGGGGATGCTGTGATTATGCTTTTCTTGCATGGCAGAAGGGGGTTGGACTGGATGGCCCCTGGGGTTGCTCCTATTACTACTACTACTACTACTACTACTACTACAAAGGCTAGATGTCCATCTGTTGGGGTGCTTTGATTCTGCTTTTCCTGCATGTCAGAAGGGGGTTGGTCTGAATGGGACCTGGGGTCTTCCACTGAAATACTGCTAAGTTTATGGTGGTTACATTGTTCTTCATTTTAAATATTGTGTTGTTCTTTCTTTCTTCCCTTTTTTGGCACTACAGACAAAATGTGTGCTGTGTACATAGGAACTTGTTCATGTTTTTTTCAATTCGTTCACACAAATACTCTCCACTGGTCAAAAGGTTTGCCCATACCTGATATATATACATTATATGTAATATATAAAATTTCTTGTGGCTCCAAGAGAAGCTTTTGCTTCAAAAAAAGGGCTCAGTGGCTGAAAAAGTTTGAGAACTGCTGATCCAAAGTATGAACTTTGCTTTGGATGGCTCAGAGTAGTGTAGTGCTATCTGGAGACCAGGGGTTAAATTCCCAATCTGCCATGGAAATCTCGTGGGTGAAGCTGAGGAAATCAGCTCTCTTGTCACAAAGGAATTCTCCATGAGCAAAACTTGCAAAGAGAACCCGTGACAGGTTGCCATAGGTTGACTATGAATTTGAAATGACTTGAAGGTGTATAACAACAAATAGCTCAGGTTCATTTGTCTGAATATTGAGATTGCTATCTAAAATATTTTTGCTTATGCTTGCTTCAAGGGAGGTTCATTGAGGGCCAGAGGATACTTTTAGCAGTAGCAATTCCTTCAGTTGGTTTAAGGTTATGGAGTACTTCACATTAACATTATCTTGGTAGCAGACAAAATACTTATTTTGCTCCCTGACATTAAGAAACCAAGAAAAAACATCTGCTGGGAGTTTATGGTGCTCATTCTAGATTGGGCAGGTGGGTGAAACATGAGTGTCGATGAACACTTTTTGTTGTTGGAATAAAGTAATTCTGCTTTATTTCATTTTGTGTTTATAGCTTTATATAAATTGTGTATGACTGCATTATATTAATTATGAACTATATTGATTTCTGTAAGTTTTTTGGGCTGTATGGCCATGTTCCAGAAGCATTCTCTCCTGATTTTGCCTTTTCCTATTTCATTGAATGTGGCCATGGGAATGTTTTCTGTTGCAACTGACTTGAAGACTACTGTAATAGTGGGAAGAAAGATACACATTTAATAGTGCAGTGCTTAGAGTGCTGGATTAGAAATGTGAAGACCCAAGTTCAAATCCACAAAACTATGAAGCAAACCATGACTTTGACTGTCTCTCAACCTGACCTATCTCATAGGATTGTAAAGAGAATTTGGGGCAAAGGCAAAATCCTTCCTTGAGAATAAAAAAAAATAGGTGCCACACACTTATCCTAGAGATTTAGTAATCAGACAGGAAAAACGAGTTATGCATTCTGTTCCTGCGCCTTCTGTTCTCTTGGCAGCCTGTGTTAAAATAGTACTGTTTTGTAATAAGATTTCACTGGACAGTCTGTTGAATACTGACAGTGATCACAAGGGAGACATGCATTGCTCTTGAAGCAAGTCATGATGGCCTAGGCTTTAGCAACTGTTCCTTGAAGAAACCTAAATGAGTGGGTTCTTATGCCTGAACATTGAAAGAAATTCCCCACACTTCAGCTCTGTCTTCCTTTCATCCTGGATACTTTTGCTTATTTCTCTCATGTTTAGTTTCACACATGTGAATCAGCGTGCACTGTTTACCAAATAACTACCTCATTGTAAAACAATTCCTTTGTAGTATAAAGGTAAAGGTTTCCCCTTGACCAGTGGTTCTCAACCTGTGGATCCCCAGATGTTTTGGCCTTCAACTCCCAGAAATCCTAACAGCTGGTAAACTGTCTGGGATTTCTGGGAGTTGTAGGCCAAAACGCCTGGGGACCCACAGGTTGAGAACCACTGCCCTTGACATTCAGTCTAGTTGTGTCCCAACTCTAGGGGGTGGTGCTCATCTCCATTTCTAAGCCAAAGAGCCTGCGTTGTCCATGGACTCCTCCAAGGTCATGTGGCCAGTATGACTGCATGGAGCACTGCCAACCTTTTGGTCAGCAAGTTAAGCAGCCTAGTGGTTTAACCAACTGCACCACCGGGAGCTCCACTTTGTAGTATAAGTGATATAATTTCAGTAGAAATCCATATTGAATTATAGATTTGCTACACCATTTTTTCTTCCAAAAGAAAAAAAAAGAGTAAAACCCTGGTGTGTTTTTGGAATGAACTACATTCACAAGAAGAGGGAGAAAGATTAGTTCTGCCTCTTATTGCATCTATGAATGGATCACTCAGATAGAATTTATTAGTAAATAGAGATAATGCATGATTATAAATTCACACAGAAAAACTGATGCTGTGGATTAGATTTTTACTTTAAAATAGTTCAGACAGTTCTGTGTTATAATTATTAATACTGAGTAATACCATCTGTAAACTAGAAATAATTTTGGATATTCAATGAAGATAACTCAATTTCAGTCGAATTTTTGATTGTCCCTTGATGACTATTTTGGATGTTTTCTTTCTAAGCTTGCAAGGTAGTTTTGAATGCATCAATCAAGATCCCAGTTTAGGAAGAATGAACATTCCAAACAGTTTGGGCCCCTGTCGGAACGGAGGTAGTTTAGGTAAGGGCATTTACCTAGTATGTTTACGGATGTATTTTGTCATGTACCCTAGTATTCCATTTGTCTGTTTTCAATCTGACGTTTGTCTTGTGTATTTTTCACATTGCTGTCTTTAGGTGCATTACAGCTGTGTAGCAACAAACTGCTGCATGGTGTGCCTGAAGGGGGGTCCCTCCGGCTCATCCGGAGTGCTTCCTTTTTTGCAGGTTTGTGTGGAATGCCAGTCACCTTGTGATGTGCTCCTATGCACTTGTTTGGCTTCTTGTGTGTTTTCTTAGTGTGGGATCAGTGACTGCTCTCTAAGCGGAATGGGCTGATACTGATATTGATTTTATAATTTTATTTAAAAATTGTACCAGAGATTGGAAATACTACTTTTTTACATCAAAGCTGTCAGAATCCCCCAGGCAGTATGGCCATGTTGACTGGGACATTCTGCAAGTTGTCGTCTAACAGCATCTCCAAGCTGTCTGGGAGGGTGCCAGCTTTTGCAAATATTGAACTGCATTACCTGTATACCCCTTCCTTGCAATATCCCTCACAATGTGTTATTGCTATTAGTAGTTTTACGTCCTTGGGAATGAGGTTGCCCTTTCCAGTTTCGAGAGGAGTTATTTTTCCAGGCTAATCTTGCCTAGTGTTAATTTTGTGTTCTGTTACTTATATGTAATTATGCTGGGAATATGGTTTTATTCTTTCACTTTCCAGGAAGTCATTCCTCCACCCACACTCCACCCCAGCATTTTCAACTAGTCTGTCATTAATTGAAAGGATGAATTTGGGAAATGGGTTAAAATATAGTTTGATCAAAGAAATATTACACGGGTGATAAATCATGCATGTACTAATAAAATGCATTCATCTTCTTAATATTGGCTTGACCTATTCTGAATGTTACTATTGTGTTCCTGCGTGACAGGGAATTGCATTGGATTTTGTGATATCTTCCAATTTTTTGACTATATGATTTAGAATTACTTCTTTGACTAGCATTGTTAGTTGAAGTGGAACCCATTTGAAAATGAATATTACCACCTGTGGGCATTATCACTATACAATTTGTTGCATCTAGAAGCTCTCTTGTATTTTCTGACCATGGAAGGATTGTTTTGGTCTACATGCTAGAAAAGGAAAACTAAAGCTTCATATATTTGGATATATATACCCAAATATATCCACTAAACTTCTCAGAAGTGCTCAGGACTTTACTTTTAAAAAACTAAGATGTTCTTCCACTTTGAACCCTTTTACAGAAGCATTAGAGCATCTTTAATTACTGTTGACTAGAACATGATAACAATGGGGTATCCGTGTTTGCAATGATATTAGTCAGTGTTCCAACCTGATGACTTTAACCAACTAATTAAAATCAGACAGAGTTTTTCAGGTAAAAGACTGCAGAAATAGGCTTTAACAAATTTCAAGTAGAAATTTGTTTTCTTCCGTTCACCACAGGAGAAAAAAAGTGGTAAAGATACGAGTTCTGTTGAAAATGCAAAGTCTGTAAAATCTGATCTCTTTCAGTATTACTATGTTCATTCTGTGCTGAGAGCTTTTGTGATTTGAAAGAGACTGAGCAGGAGTACAGGTTCAGATACTCTTTTAAGTCAATTTAACCTTTTTACTTTTTAGATTTAACCTAACTTTAGAACACTGGTTTTTTGTTTATCTTTTGTTTAACCCTCAGGCAGGCAAACAGTATATTTCCACCGCCCCGGTGACATGTTTTGTTGTAGACTTCACATAGAGCTAGATCTACATTTTGGCATTTTATGACTTGGTTATATTAATGAGTTATAAGAGGAGTACAGTCATTTTTATTAATAAAAAACACCTGGGACAAAATTGTCCCAACAAATCTGTTGCATTTGTGTGTTGGTTTTCTTTCAAACCTGGTGATCTGTCAAATATTAAAAATGTTCCATGTCATGCATAATATGTATGACATGGAACATTATCTGTTCTGACTTGGAGAGTATCCTTTATTCTGAACCCAAATCCCTCCTATAGTCATGAGACATTTCTTATACCTGCTATACATTACAGTTCTCAATGTGAACAGACTGAGGCATTTGGTGTCTATTTTTTTCATCTGCCTGCTCGGAGGTTAACAAATATATAAAAAAAACCTCAGCCCATTGTTTTGTGGTTCTAGTTGTTCCCACCAGCTCATTCCAGTTGTTATTCTACATATATAACATGTCTAAACCCAAAAATATACATTCATTGTGAACTGTGGGTCTTTGGGTTCTTGCCCTGAATTTCCCTAATTGAGAGGAACACCACTTGAGAAAATGGATTCTTACTTCCTTAATGTGGGAACAAATTCAGGAGGATACAATTTGTTGCAGAACATCATAACGCAGTTTGTTTAGAATAGAAGGTCAGGCTAAACCAACCTTGTAATTTGCTACTTTTTGAGGAATGTTAGAAAGAATTGTTACATGGTTTCCTCTAAGAACTTGAACAAGTGAATAACTGATGGGAATGGTGGGAAGTGAGGTATTTTTTGCATTCACATTCACATACCTAGAAGCAAGCCAAATAATACATTGCCAAAGTGCAGCTTTTTGCTCGCCATTTGCTGGCAGTTTTAAGGTACAAGTGTAATGTTTTTAAATATCCCATTGTGTTTTCTTAGCCACTATGGGATATTTCAAAATAATATTATACTGTTATGGGAAAATCATTCAATATTATTGCGACTATTTCTTTGCTTAATGCTTTATAGGGTTTTTTTTGGGGGGGAGGTGGTATTTGGGTTTTGAAGACACATGGTAAACAGTACTGCAATTTAATCTTTAGGATTTTTTTTTTTAAATTTAGCTCACAGCACACCTGTTGACATGCCTAGCAGGGGGCAGAATGAAGACAGAGACAGTGGCATTGCTCGCTCAGGTATTTACTAATTACTTCGCTCTTTTTTAGAGTACAAGTTGAATATCATTTATTTGGAACGCTAGGGACCAGAAGTGTGAGAAAGTTTTGGATTTCAGGGTGTTTTTTTTTTCAGATTTTGGAATACCTGCATTTCTATATGCATAAATGATATCTTGGAAATGGTATCCAGGTTTCATATACACTCTGTGAACATAGCCTGATATTTTTAATTATTTTCGTCATGAAACAAAGTGTGTCTATGTTTAACTATCTGAAAGCTAAGGTATCACCATCTTAGCCATCCATGTGGACAATTTTGGATTTTGGAATTCCAGACAAGGGATGTTCTACCCATATTGTCAGATGGTGTTACATTTATTTTCATTCAATATGAGACAGTGTGTTAAGATATAGTTTTATTTCTTATGGAATTTGAACACATCTGTGAAATTTGACAGGCTGTTTAGAAATGGGAGTTTTGTTTTCTCATTAATTGATCTCAGTGGTTCCCAAACTTGGGTCTCCGTGTGTTTTGGACTTCAGCTCCCACAATTCCTAACAGCTGGCAAGGTAGCTGGGATTTCTGGGAGTTGAAGTTCAAAACACCTGGAGGCCCAAAGGTCGGGAACCACTGCATTTGTTAAATAGGTCAGTTGGCCTCTTCATGTAGTCTTGTGTTTTGTAATGAAGTTGGTAAGCCTCTTGGGCAAGGTAGTTTGTCTTGGACAGTGTCTGCACACTGTTTGCTTTAAAAGATCATGATTGTTCTGTGTTGTACCTGCTTGGTTCTTGATGGCATCACCCAAGGTGTGATTAAAAACTGTCAGTCTAATCTCTTGGCAAGATGGCTACAGAAGAGAGCTCTGTGTTTCTCCAGGGATGATGTTGGGGTCCATTATTACTTTGTAACTTAATGGAACTATCTCTTTCTTCTCCGTGTGATTGTAATATGGAGGAATAATCATCTTATCTGTTATGTGTTTTCATGCTATATTTACATATAAGGTAGGGCTGTTGGCCTTTCTTCGTCAGCCTAGCAAAAGAAAATATATGTTGGATATCTTTAATAACAGCAGGATATAAACTTCCATGTGATTAGGAAGTGACAACTTAAAAAATGTTGTCATCTTTCTGCTTTCCTGCTAGCATCTTTGAGCAGTCTTTTGATGACTCCATTGCCATCTCCAAGCCCTTCTTCTAGTAGCTTCCAGCGCCGCTGGCTAAGAAGTCAAACAACAAGTCTGGAAAACGGCATTTTCCCCAGGTGGTAAGTATCACAGGCATTACCTTCCTCAAATTCAGATGCTGTTTATAGATACCTTATATGCAGTTACTTTTCTGCTTTAAGAAACCATCCATAAACTACAATCAGAAGTCTTTAAGCGGACTGGCAGAGCAAGTACGTTTTAACGACCTTTGTAATTGGAGTATGCAAAACTTGCCCAGCTTCTCTAAAGCTTCTGCAGGATATGTGGAGATGGAGAGGCCACATAGAAGGTGTTCTCTTCAGATACTGTTTTGTGTTTTATTATTTCTAGGAGCCTGCGGTGGCACAGTGGGTTCAACCCTTGTGCCGGCAGGACTGAAGACTGACAGGTTGGAGGTTCGAATCCAGGGAGAGCGTAGATGAGCTCCTCACTATCATCTCCAACTCCCCATGTGGGGACATGAGAGAAGCTTCCCACAAGGATAGTAAAACTTCAAAACATCTGGGTGTCCCCTGGGCAATGTCCTTGCAGGTGGCCAATTCTCTCACACCAGAAGCAACTTGCTGTTTCTCAAGTCGCTCCTGACACAGAAAAAATAAATATACTGAATTTTTATTTTATTTTTTAAATAAAAATTCACATAATTGGGTAAAAAGCTATCTGGGAGGAAAAATCCTAGAAGCTGAGGAGAACAAATTAGACTTTATATCCTTCTAAAATTCTTAATTGGGGAACAAGAAAGATACTTCAGAAGAATTCCAAATATGTGAGCTGCCACTAAAATTGCCATTTCCTTGGCACAACATGGGGCATAAACTGTGAAACTGATATTTAGGGCCTAGATCAGATGTAGACAGAATGGTGTAGGCCATGTGGAGAACATATGGCCTTCCAGATATTGATGGCCTGTAGTCTCCATCAGTCCCTACTAATGTATCCATTGGAGAGGAATCCTGGGAATTGTAGTCCAACCATAAATAAATTGGCATATTGCCCACCCCTGGTGTAAGGTAATCTCAAACTTTTATGTATGTATTAATATGTTACATATATACTTCTTTTGCAGGATCTGGTGCAGCTTATAATATGAATTAAAACTAAGTACAGTCCCAAAACATTCAAATAAATGCTGAAGAACATTTAAAAAAATAATATATACATATATAATAAAAGCACCAGATCCCATCTGATACTGGAGAGCTAAACAGGATCAGCCCTGATTAGTGCATAGATAGAAGACCACCAATGAATACCAGGAGCTGTGGGCAATATTTCAAAGAAAGGAACTGGCAAAACTGCTTCTGAGTATTCCTTGCCTAAGCAAATCCTGTAAAATGCATGGAGTTACCATCAGTCAACAATTAACATGAAGATGCACACACACACACACACACTCATCAGAGAAATTAGATAATGACAGCTTTATAGATGTATGGGGTATTGCATACATTATGACATGAATAGGAAACTTTCATAGTACTTTTCTATTTTTCTAAGCTGGATGAGATTTCTGAAAATTGACATCAAAAACATCTGGACATATGTGTCTTCAGCCCTGCCATATAGAGAGAGTATTGAGTAGGGCAGCAGGACATAATACTACTACTTTCCACTATGATATTCCTCAATGTGGCTTGCAGTCAGTTTAAAACAATGTAAAGAATGAGTAAGAAAGAAGGAGCAGATACATGTTAAATTGTTCTCAGGTTCATTTCTTACATCTCAGACTTAAGCTTATCGAAAACTGGCACATGTTTAAATACACAGATGTGAGCCCCCACTTAACATCCTTCTACCTGAACTAATGATTATAGTATGACTTAGTTATTGTTTCCTTTACATTTCTTGAACCGTAAAGAGTTAAAAATCATTGAACAGTACTTCCCAAAAAGACTTCACCTTCTAGAAAGGATGAGAGGATGCAGTGCTCATAGCATTTCCTTGTTTTTGGAACAAGATGCTGGTTCCGATTGTCCTCATGCATTGTTTGTAGCAGGTTGACTTCAGCTGGAAATCTGTTTAAACTATGTATTGCCTTGATTTGACCCAGTAGGGATTTTTTATGTTTCAAAGTTATGTGGTTACAATTGGAGAGATATGGAAGTAGATAGCAAAACTTCTCTGAAAAGCCAAGTCCATTATTATGTAATTTCTTACTCTTGATCTAAAGAACTTAGAACTTAATCAGTGTGAAACTTCACAAAACAATATATCTTGGTTTATACATCACATAGGCTGTGGATTCACATTTCTAGCATTTTCAACTCATTTGTAAAATGACTTTGACCACTTTTAGTATGTATTTTCTTGTTATGCTCCCAACACCCTCCATTGGTACCTTATGAACTCCCCATGAGTTAGTGAAGGGTGTTTTGCCAACTGCAAATACTTTGAAAAGGATAGGTAGGGTACTGCCACTATTCATCATTATAACTTCTATAGTTTATCCTTGCCTGTCACTAGACTGCAATTCCTGTGCATTTTGAAATCACTTTTCAGAGTTATAAAACATTGCTAACTTACCTCTTGTTTCATTGTTTTACCATCATGAACTCTGAAGGACTTTGGTCTGGAACCCACTATGTCTGATTACGTAGTTTGATATAGTGACTACATGGTAAACAGCTTTTGAAGCAAAACACAGTGCATTGATACCTGCATTATTGATTTAATGTTTAAAATTTTAAGTGATTTTTTAAAAAGTGTTTGCATGAATATCCTAATGCATTGAAATGTGATTTACCACAAAACCCTATACATGTCTACCCAAAGTGAATTTTTGTAGGCTTGCCTTTTAGTTGCTTATTGTTGAAATTGCACAGGCAGCAGAATTCCAATTACAAAGGGCAACTGGGTTGAAATTATTTCTGTTGTCAAAAGTTTTTGTTTAAGCCTGAGTTACAAATTCTGAAATATGTTTCTTCTAAAAAGACAAAGAAGGCCGGGGGAGGGTGAGACTCTTCATTTAATATTTTTTGTCTTGATATAATAACATTTGACTTCAGATTCTGTCTTGAGGAAGATTATTCGATTATAGCCACATTAGTATTTTGATTGAAATATTATTGGTCATGGATACCTCTGTAGGCATAGGGAATTATATTTTGCCTCTCCAAATGTCCTTCCACTTGTGAGTAACTGAATTCTATGTGGTAGAAGTGCAGGCATTCATGTACTAATACCCCCATGGAAAAATCCAAAGTGTAAAGCTACAGCTAAATCATAGAATTAGAAGAGACTACAAGGGCCATCCAGTTCAACCCCATTCTGCCAGGCAGGAAAACACAAAGCACTCTGGTCAAATTGCCATACAGCCTTTGCTTAAATGCTTCCAGAGATGGTGACTCCATCAACCTATTCCCACTGCTAAACAGCTCTTTGGATTACATCAGGAAGATTGTATAGCTATGCATCATTGTTGGAAAAACCCATTTCCCCTCCAGATTGGATTGCAGCTAAACTCAAGGGGAAGAGGGAATTCCAGAGTGTGTGTGTGTGTGTGTGTGTGTGTGTGTGTGTGTGTATGGATAATCATAATCCTTCTACTTAGTCACTGAGTCCTGGATCTTTGACCTTGTAAACTATGGCTCTACTACACCACTGATGGAGTACAAGGAGAGACACAGTACTAATATCACCACACCTAGAATGAACAAAAACCTCTGGGATGTTGGTGGCTGTACGTGTGTGTTTTTGTTTTAAACGTAAATACAGCTGTTCTTCTGCTTTCCTTTCTTTAGCTCCACTGAAGAAACATTCAGCATGGCAGATGAAAGCTGTAGCCTCAATCCTGCAATGATTCGTAGGAAGAAAATTGCCATCAGCATCATTTTCACACTGCCAGAAAATGAAGAGGCCCAGAGGGACTTTCAAGATTTCTTCTTTTCTCACTTCCCCTTATTTGAATCACATATGAGCAAGCTGAAGAGTGCAATTGAAATGGTAAGCAATGGGGCAGATTTCTTCCTGGTTTTAATTACCACCTGTAAAGCAGATTGGCATGATAGGAGGTTGGCCAGCCAGGTTTCCACATACTTTGTTAACTGATGCTCCTTTCAGCAATATCACTGAATCATTCACAGGGTGGACCAGTGTAGGAGGAAGGCTGTAGTAATTAGTAGGCTTGTGCATTTCGGCTGAACCATAATCCATTTCGGCTGAACCATACCATTTCCGCTAATTTCGGCGGGTCCACATATCCATTTTTGCGCATCTCCCGAAAACAGGTGGGCGTTCGAATAGCCATTTTCGGTCCGCAGTCGAAAAATGTGGCAAGATCTGACCCATTGGCAGCAATGGGACGGGCTTCCCAGGCCCCCTTCCCATCATTTTTAGGGCTATTGGGATGAACAGGACTACATTTGGAAGGCACATCTAGCACTGTTAGCCCACCAAGATTCATAACATTTAGGTCATCCCTAATTTTTTAAAATTCCTTTTCTTTCTTGCAATAAAATCTCCTTTTATAAATTCCCAAAATGGCATCCCCTGCTGGCCCTGCCCTGTAACCTCTCCAGCAGCAGCAGGGCACCATCCTTCCTACCAGATGTCAAAGATGCATATCACACAGCTCACTGTTACACTTTCTTTACTAATATAAAAAAGCAACTTCTTTCGGAGCTTTTGCCATTCTTGTTCTCACAATATTCTGGAAGAAGCCAGCAGCCTACCATCCAACGATACATTTTTTTAAAAAAAATTCAAAATGTATTGTTGGAAAATCTAGCCATGTTTGGGGAAAAACTATGTTTTTGTAGCTTATTATATTATTTTAAGTCTTCACAGTTCAGAGCAGGTCCTCAGCTTCATTGATTCAGAAAGGCAAGGTGGCAGAACCCCAAAAAAGGGTAATGGATGGGCTCAGGGACAAGGGGAGAAGGATGACTTCAGGTCAGGCAGACAAGTGGCTGGCAACTGGAGAAGATGGGCACTGTGGCTGTTGGCTGTGGCTAGATGTGGCTGGCCGATTGCTTGCATGAACAGGCAGGGTTTTTTGTGTGTGTGTTTTTTTTAAAATTAAAAGTTAGAATACAAAAAAAGAATACAAATAATAATAACAACAATAATATTTTATGTCCTTATAGAGATTGGAGTTAGAGAAAGACGATGGTTTGGCAAAGCTTCCAGAGAAACTCAATAGTTTTATTATTATTAGGCAGCCAAATTATTATTATTAAATGAAATAAGAAGGCAGCGAGCACTGAGAGAAATATAATAAAACAACAGAGAGATCTTGTGATGGGATTGAAAATTAAATAAATTCGTATTGGTGGTAAATTTAGGTTGGTAGGTAGGTAGTTTTCTGAGAATGAGGCTTTGCTGTTTTCTGGAATTTTTATAATTATTAATGACAATAATCTTGTAAAAGAGGAGCGAGGAAAAAAGAAGCTAAAGATCACTTAAATAAAGGCTAAAGGGTGACTCAAAGCTCAGAGCCACCCTAAAAGAAAAGCACACCCACCCGCGTCCCCAAACCTTGCCCGCCCACCCACCCATACTTTCCAACAACCAGTCCCTAAATAAAAAAATTAGGAAAATAATCTAGAAAAATCTCACAAAATCAAAAAATAAAATTAGATTAAGTGAGCCAAGCAAAAAAGCTAAAGCTGTGAGCAAGCAAGTGGTAAGGCAATTTGACTTCACAGTAATCGAAGCGCCTCTCTCTAGAACCAGGATGCAACTGAGCAATGGAAGTGCTTGTCCCATGAAATAGATACAGTGTGTGTAAGACACATCATGGCTTTCGTCTATTCTGATTGGCCCAACAGGCAGGGCTCATGTAGAAATCCCATGCAAACATGTGGCAGCCTCTCCGCGCACTGCGTGATCCCAAATAGAACAGAAGGTAGCCACAACTGGCAGCCATGTGGTCTGTCTCGGTCGCAAAAAACATGGTAGCAGAGCCCTTACCGTTACAGGCATCTAAACAAGCCTAAAGCAAATGGCCAAAACGAATCTGTGCACAAGCCTAGTAATTAGACCTATCCAGATGTCATGTTCTCAGCCTTTGATATGCCACTTGAGCAATACTTCTGAAGTGGGCTTCCAGTCCGCATTTGAATGCGAACCTGTATGCAAGATGTTCTCCATAGCATCATGATTGCATTCAATATATTATTTTTATAATGTTCATTTGTCACTTCTCAGCCTGCAATGTACAACACTTAAAGTCATATTCTTTAACAGTAAACTGAAACAATAAAAAAACAGTTGTATAGCCTAACATTTTTCCTGGGTTATAGTGAAGACCAGTATTTTACCCAAGAATTTTTTAAAAAATGCTTTTTTACTTAATTCCATAAAATGAGACTGATTCTTGCCTATTTCCTACATCCAATATATTACACCCTGACAACCTGTCACTCAAGAATAATTTTTGGAGTCACCATGAAGCAACAGGAGGAGGGTGTAAAGACCTCGATTCTGTATTTGGTTCCAGATCCTGAATTTTTTCAGAAAAGCTTTTTAGTAAATTTTTGAAAGAAGCACTATTTCATTTTAAACCTCTTGTCATTATTTCTTTATCATCAAGGCTATGATCTCCTGTAGAAAAATAGCAGAAACTAGCCAAAGAGTGCAAGTTTACATCAGCCGGGTCATGAGTGCCCTGGATGAATTCAGGTGAGTTACTCTTACATAAAATTATCTAGGAGCAGGTGACAAGTAGGTTTATTTTTCTCCAAATGGCGAATCCAGACCATCATTTAGGTAGATTCATTTCAGGTTTTTCCATGTTGTGTTAATCTTTCTGAGTTTGCCATACACACATATTTTTTCCTCAGTGACATAGATTTGTGCTTGCATACCAGATGTAAATTGCAATTGTTAAAATTTTGTTTTGTAAAACACAATTTAAAAGGAAAGAGGAATTCTTGTTCTCAGTGTACCCCCTAGCCTCATAAATTTCACAGTTATAGAACAGTTCATGATAACACCTATCATTTGAGGTGGTCTGCAAAGGATGGCCTAAATATGCAGCACCTTGGGTGTTGGACTGCTAGTTCATGGGGTGCAGGGTAGTAGTGACTTATTTGCAATCTGCCTCTTCTGTAACCCCCACCTACAGTAGAACACTTCATTTTGACACTTTAGTCCTAGCTTATGCTGTTTAAATTCTTATTTGTGCAAACTAGTGCAAAATTGCTCTTTAGAATCCTAAAACAGCTGTTTTTAACCTGGGTTTCTTCAAGGACTCCATACTGTACTTGCACTGTTATAGATGCGTCAGTACTGCCCTAAGCTATTACATTTTGAAACATTGCTGTCAGTGTGAAATTTGCATAATTTGAAAAAGCTGAATGACAGAACTGGATTCTGGGAGTTATCCCCCAAAACATAACTTTCGCACACTGATCATAAGAAAAGTGAATTAACAGTGAAAACCACTACATTTACCTCTCTTTGAATAGCATTAAAGAATTGGGTTTTTTTTTTTAAAAGAACCCCTCCTCACCAACCTATAACTCCTGAAAAGTCACTTTCCAGGCTCTGGCTGTCATGCATATAAAAGAATCCCAATGTTGAAACGACAGAAGTTGCATGAGTGTGAAAAAATAGTATTTAAATAAGGATTTCATGCTTCATTTTGACTTCTGTGTGGATTTGATCATCTGACCATACTTCAGCTCATTATTTCAGCACCTGACTGGGGCCAGGGCCAAGACAGAGAGGGTGGGTCGAGATTATATAAAAGAGCATGTGAGTCAGAGATGAAATGCACAACATAAACGTTCCCGTCAAAACTGACACTCATGACTTGCTGCCTTTTGACTGTCCTGGGGTACCAGGGGATAATGTAGAAATGGGCTTTGCCAAGTTTTGATAATGGGTCTCCCAGATAATAGGGAATGAATAATCTGAAGTGAATTTCTTTGTTTATGTAGAATTTTCTCAGTTTGCTCAGAATCTAATGTTTTGTCAAAAACCTTCCCTGCATTTTCCTATTACCCCCAAATACCCTAGATGTCACATGTGTCAAACTCAAGGTCAATGGCCGAATCCAGCTCACTGTGTCATTTTATGTGGCTCTCCTGTATTCCTAATTATTAGACATCATGACTAGAGCTGATGGAAGTTGTGATACAGTAACTTCTGAAAGACTGTAGTTCAGTGGTTCTCAACCTGTGGATTCCCAGGTATTTTGGCCTACAACTTGCAGAAATCCCAGCCAGATTACCAGCTGTTAGAATTTCTGAGTTGAAGGCTAAAACATCTGAGGAGCCACAGGTGGAGAACCATTGCTGTAGTTTGTCAGGAGAGTGGGGTTTGAATTTAGATACAAGGCTTTTGGATATGATGCCTGATTTTAAAATGTACTTTAACTTTTCCCCAACCTCAGAGCCACAATTGCTGTTGACTTGCAATTTCCATTATCTCCAATCCGTATGGCAGATATTCTAAAGTGATAGGATTGGTTGCTCAGTAACATCTGGGGGCCCAAATTTGAAGTTTGACACCACTGTGTTCTAGTGATATGTAAACATAGGGTGGAGAGATAGGTTTGCCTATATTCAGCCTCAAGCCATAAGATAGGAAAGAGTCTCCAGTCACAATTGACGCACTTTCCACAAATACAGTTGTAAGTGAGGTATTCCACAATTTTCACAGTCAGGCATATGCAATCTCACCTTGTACATTCACACAACATCTGAACCAGATTTTTGATTTCTACCATTAAAGCAATGTGATGAAAAGCTTCTGCAGTTATCTTGGATAATGTTTATCCTATACACATGGTACAACCCTGGGTTTCACTATAGTCTCATTTGGTAACTTTACTTCCTTTCAGTATTAGATCTGCTAATCAGTTGTAAGTTGTACTAACAAGCTGAAAAAAAAGTATTTGAATAAGAATTTCATGCTTGACTTTGGCTTCTGAATGGATTTGTACCAGTTGCAAGGAGGGAAGGATCCTCTATTCCATGAATCATTCACACTGATTTTATCATGTACCATCACTGATTCATTAGATAGAGTGAGGCAATTGCCTCAGGTGGCAAACGGCAGGGAGTGGCAAGGACAGTGTGTGCTATTACATGTCTTCATTTTTCTTTCTGAATTTTCTAGAAACCTCCTCTTTGTTGGAGAACAGAACTCCATGTGACACTTCACCTGTCTTTCCCTCAGGAGGGAACAGCTTTGTGTATTTTCACCTCAAGCAGAAAATGTCTTGTGTCACCTCTGCATTGATTCTTGAATTTTTGGACCATTTCAGTGGCATTGGGGGACCATAATTAATATTTTGACTTTACAAAACCCTTCCTTTTTGCTTGAAAGAGGTTTTGTGATGTGAATAATTGCATTATTTTAGCTAACACATTGTTGCTCTTTTTCTTTCTGGGAACTCTTTGTAGAGCTACAGTCTGGAACTTATATTCATTTCCAAGAATTGTAGAGCCTGTGTGGCTTACTATGATGTCTGGTGCTTCAGAAAAGAATACGTTATGCCAGCACTTTCTCAAGGAGTTCACTTCTTTGATAGAGCAGACTTGCAAAAACCAGTAAGTCACCTCTATGTCCTTCTTTGCTCTATTTCCCTATTAGAAAGAGTAAATGTATGGCAACGTTTATTGTCTTGTTTCTGGCTATTCTGTCTCCATAGGTTCTTAGCTGCTCTATTAACAGCAGTGCTGACTTATCACCTGTCCTGGGTTCCAACTGTGATGCCAGCTGACCATCTTCCCAGCAGGACCTTCTCTGAGAAACACGCTTCTCAGTCTGTGAACTTTCTAGCAAAATCTCACCCTTATAATCCACTCTGGGCACAACTTGGTCAGTAGAAATTTTCACATGTAGACATTTTCTAAAAAAAAAAAAAATCTATAAAGAAAGCAGGAGTATGTTTTGAACAGAAATAGATTTGTTTCTATGGGTGTGGAAATTGTTTGCCTGAAAATATTAAGGTTTGGAGCAACTGGCCTACAGTTAGAGAACAATATGACCACGTTCATTAACACATGCACCCATATGATTGACTTTAAGCATGTATGTTTGCACCCTGCAACCTAAAATTACAACCAATTGCCGGATTTTACTACCATAGCAACAGTGGCAATGATTCAGTGAAGCTGGGCAATGCCCTCTAGTGGTTCCTGAATACATTAAAAACTGGATAATTGGATTGCAGTCTCTTTGGCACTAAGGAAGTAAGTGCAAATGAAAGAACTGGATTTTATTTTTATTCAGAATGTGAATGAATCTGAGGTTTGTGCATTAGTAAATAGCAGTTTTTCTAGTTTCAGAATATAACAAAAATAACACAACAAATCCATCAGATAATTCAACACCAAAATCAGAAGTCAGATTGCTTACTGTCTTCCCTTACCCTCCTTCTTGCTTCAAGCAGAGGAAATAGCGTTGACAGAGTATTCTGCTCTACAAACCAAAGAATGGCCTAACTTGTAATTCTCATGATGAATTCAATAGCTATGTCTTAGTACAGAAATAGGCAACTTGTGACCAGATTTTTTGTGCTAGACTACAATATCTCTCTCCATGCATAGATAGTTTTAGTCCAAGAATATCTGAAAGCTGTTGTATAACAATATTTGGTGGATCACACATTAGCCTGTTCAGTTTAAAGTTGTTAAGTTTGACTGTTTTACTCATTCTTAACTGTTCAGGTCTTCAAAATTTCTGTTTAACACCTGTCAGACAATAAAATATTGCAGTCCTAGTCATAATCCAGTTTGACTTGGATATTGCTGAAGTCTTGGTGTAGCCTTGAGTAATACTGTATTATATCTGCTATTCAGGCACGTAGCTTACACTTCACCAGTCTGTAAATCTCATGGTTCTGTTTTATCAAATGCCATATTGTGCATGTATATAGTAACTGCTGCACTGACTTAAATTGAGTGGCCCACCTCTGTTGTATGTAGCATATCTGTATGATATGAGTTGCTGTAAATCTTATATTACACTTGAAACTCCATCCAACATAGAAACAGAACTGTAAATTGTAAATCATTTAATTTTATATAAGTTTGAAGAAAAAAATCACTTAATTTTATGAGTTTGAAGAATTCAGGTGATGTTAACACCAATTCAAAATATAGACCTCCCTGTTAATGATGTACCAAAAAGAAAAATTCTACTTGTACGATGTAAAAGGACCTCAAGGGGTAGATAATTCCAAACATTTTGATTTTCAGTTGGAAGTGTATTCATTTCTCCTACTAAAATCAATAGAACTTAATTTATCTCAGGATGGAATTGTAATGTTTGCTTCCTAAGTGCTGACTCATTGCACCTCATTGTAGACAGAGAAATCACTTTTGGACAAGTTTGTTTCTAATGCAGTGGTTTGACCTTTTTTTGACCAGGGACCACTTGAACAGGGACCAGTTTGAGAAGGGACCACTCTCCAAAGGGTTACAAATCAGTTTTTGGTCAACTTTAGATGTGGTTTGGTTATTTGGGGTGCCGATTCAGAAAACTGCATTAGATAGAGCACATCAGCTCTAGTTTCAGATACAGAACATATGCCATTCAGTAGTTGCCATCTGCTCACCCACAGCAAACCATATTTTATAATCTAGAGCTGATGTGGTAGTAGTAATCTTTTGTAGGTAGTCAGCCTTTCTCCTCTCAACATCCCCATTGCCTCAGCACAATAAGAGGGTTTTGCAAGACCAGTTGCTCTTGTTGCTGAGTGATTTCGAGGCAACGGTGTTGTAATGGTGAGGCCGAGGACCATATTTTCGTACTTGCGGACCACTGGTCCACGGACCAAGGTTGGGAACCACTGTTCTAATGGATTCAGTTTAAGTCATGTGTCTGCCTAGTTTAATCACTTTGTATATCTCTCTCTTTTTCTTCCCCCTTTGCTTGGTCTAGGTGACTTGTATGGTGCTATAGGTTCACCTGTCAGGATGACAAGGACTGTAATTGTTGGGAAACGTAAGGATTTGGTTCAGCGGATACTCTATGTTCTTACATATTTCTTGCGGTGCTCTGAGCTACAAGACAGTCAGCTGACCTGGAGTAGGCAAGTTGGAAGAGAAGAGCAAACTCTGAATGGGAGCAATATTACAACAGCTCTGGAAAAGGGAGAAACTGAGGAATCTGATTATGTGGTTGTCACTGTTCAAAATGAACCTGCTCTCATACCTCCTGTTCTGCCTCCAAAGCATGGAAAGCACGGGAGTTCTGCAACTCTGGAACGTAACAGTTGTTTTGAGCCTATCTGCTTGAAGGGAAAATATGAAGGAATAAATGCTGAGCAGTGCTCTGAGATTTCCCCTTGTGTGTCCAGAGATGGCTTCCCAAAAGGAATTGTGGAGGAGACTAAGAAGGAAAAAGCTATGGGCAATGCAGGGCCTGTTTCTGAAAAGCAAGCTAAACTGGATCATTTAACAGCAAGGATGCATAATGCCAACCAGTGTTGTGTAACAGAAGAGATGCTTCTTGGCTTGGCAGTTGTACGGTGCCCTGATAAGTCTGACCAAAAATACCCTCTTTTGGAAAGGGTTACCTTCCAGATTGGAAGTTCAGCCTCATCAGAGTCTGATTTAGAGACCCAAAGAAAGGAGATGGATAAAACTATTGGGGTGCACAGGGCTAAAAGCAAATCTCCCTATGTTATATCAAGTCCGCTTTCCCAATCCCAGCAGGACAAATCCAAGTTTTGTCTTAAATCACGGACAAAGCAGAAAGCTAGTAAAATGCAAGCACCCTGGTTGTTGTCAGATCAGATGTCTGTGTCACCTGATAGCAAAGTCAAGACGATAGAATCAGGAACACTGGAGAAAACTAAAAGTACATGCTGTGAAAACTTGGAAAGAGGTTCATTTGAATGTGATTCAGGCAATCCTTATGTTGAGCCAGAATCTGGCCAAGTAGTTACTCAGGAGATCCCCTATGGGGATACTGGCAGGAAACATACTTTTAGAATGGAAGAGAACATTCCTAGAAATGAAAGCTCTGACAGTGCCCTGGGCGAGAGTGATGATGAAGGCAGTGCATGTATTCCAGATGTACCATCTCTAAACTCTCCCAACATTAGACCTGGAGAACTTTCTGAGGTGGAACTTCTTTTACCAAGGTAAATAAATAACAAAAAAAGTGCTGCTCTAAGGTGTAGTTTCCCAGAGGTTTGATGCTTGCATTGTTCCAAGATACTTATATGATGTGATGGTAGTTCTGTTGTGAAATTTGATCTAACCTAAAGCCAGAGGTTTTTACCACCTAGCAGTATTGACATAGAAAAACTAGCTTGGGACAACCTAAATGTATTTATATTAGTGTAAGTGAATATATATTATTTCACTGAGAATCCTCTTTAGATAATGTATGCAAATATTTTGTGGTACATGCAGCTTAGGGTTAAATGTGGAGTTGTTTGTTAATAGCTATGAAGCAACTAACATTCAGATATGAGAAATAGTTGTTCTTTTGTGGCCAATCTTTTTCATTGGCAATTTTTCATGGCCCATCCTGAGTATGCCAGGTCATTATCACACGAAGCTCATAATGTGAGCTGCAGTCTTCCCAGCCACAGATTGAATTAATTACAGTTGCATGCTGTCATCCTGTATTCACTCCAAATCAGTCTGCAATTCATCTGTAAGCTGTGATTTTTTTTAAAAAAAAACCTTGCATTTTCAAGTGGCACTTTGAAGCAGTACTTTCAGCTGTGCGGTAAATGCAAAAGCACTTCAGTTGTGAGTTTGAAAACAGTGATGTGTTATTGTGAGCCACTTTTAACTACTTCACTTCCCTATGGCCATAGTACTAATAATGTTACTTTTGCTTTTTGCAAACTGTTCTTTTACAAACATGGAAGCAACGTGTTGGAACCAGAATGCTGAAAATGCACTGCTGATCATTCAGTAAGAAATAGCCCTTTCCTTTGCAGAATGCACAAACCAGGGGAAAGATTCTAATTGCAAAATGACACTTTTATTTTTTTTAATTTAAAATTATCCATTTTGCAATACAGAAAGGTTGTGCAAAGCAGCAGCTTGTGTGGGCTTGCAATAAAAGTAGCCCTCTCTCTTGCTGAATACATATACAGTGTTCCCTCACTTATTGCGGGGATTACTTTTAGGACCCCCCACGATAAGTGAAAAACCACAAAGTAGAGACGTCCCCTCCCCTTCCCTCCTTGCCCTCTTTACCTTCCTCTTCCTCCTTCCCACCTGGGCCTCTTGCCACCATTTGGGCCCTGCGATTGAGGAGGCGGCAGAGGTGTCGCGGGGCCCTAGCTGCCCCCTCACCCTCTTTGCCTTCCTCCTCCAAGCAGCAGCAAGAGGCCTTGGCGGCTTGGAGGAGAAGGAGGAAGAGGAAGGTAAAGGGGGTGAAGGGGTGGCTCTTCTTCGCTCCTCGCCCTCTTTATCTTCCTCTTCCACTGGCAGCGAGAGGCCCCGGCGGTGGTGAGGAGGAGGAAGAGGAAAGTAAAGAGGGCAAGAAGGGAAGAAGAGCTGCTTCCTCGCCCTCTTTACCTTCCTCTTCCTCTTTGCCGCCAGGGCCTTTTGCTGCCAAGCAGCAGCAAGAAGCCCTGGCGCCGGCGAGGAGGAGGAAGAGAAAGGTAAAGAGGGCGAGGAGGGAAGAAGAGCCGCCCCCTCGCCCTCTTTACCTTCCTCTTCGCCGCTGGGGCCTCTTGCTGCGGAGGCAACACCAGGTCCAAGCGGCAGCAAGAGGCCCAGGTGGCAACAAGGAGGAGGAGGAAGAGGAAGGTAAAGAGGACGAGGGGGCTCTTCTTCCCTCTTTGCTATAGTGTTCCCTCGCTACATAAAATCTATGTATGTGTGTGTATATATATATAAGCCCGCTAAACAGCAAGTCCACGGTAAGTGAATCGCAAAGTAGCGAGGGAACACTGTAATGGGAAAAATACTAAATGGAAAGTGTATATTTCTCTTATTGTTTTAAATGTTTAAAGGGACAGTGCTTGTGATCTTAATTATGAAGCCCCGGTTCCCCAGTCTCATGAGATTTTGAACTTTCAAGGTTGTGGAATTTGTTTGGTGAAAAAAAAAAAGGGGGGGGGGAGGTATGGATTAACATGCAATGCATGGTCTAGGACAGTGGTGCCAAACCTTTGATCCTCCAGGTGTTTTGGACTTCAGCTCCTACAGTTCCTAACAGCTGGTAAGCTGGCTGGGATTTCTGGGAGTTGAAGTCCAAAATACCCAGAGGAGCAAAGGTTGGGAGCCACTGGTATAGGAGGAGAGAAGTCATCAGCAGATGTAGTAAACTAAACATGTTTGTTATTTTCTTGAAGCACTTGCATAACTGATTGGTGCAATAAGATGAGCAACTATCCTGGTGTTTTCCACTTCAAACTCGAGGTGTGTTTGCAATGCCAGATCTGTTTTCAGAGCCCTGTGTGATAATGTTCCAAGTATTTTGGCAAGGAAAGAAAGTGATCATGTAGTCCATTTGCATAACACTGTTTTTGTCAAAATAACTTATAAAACACTTCAGTGCCATTAACAAAGAAGCCTCTGAGAGGGTGAGTGCTAAGCAAGCTGCTAATTCCTGTGTTTTAGATCCAGTACAGTCAGCAACCAAAATGTGAAGCATTTTGGAAGGTCGCTTCTGGGTGGCTATTGTGCCTCATATATGTCTGATCTGGTGTTACAAGGAATAAGTAATGAGGAGCAGCTTAAACAGTGCTTACCAGCCGAATTGAGTCATGCTGTGAATGTAAGTCTGTGTGTGCTTCTGAGAAAGATTAATACAGACAAACATGGGGAGAGGGGGAGGGATCTGGTAGAACCGACAATAAGCTATAGTTAGAATGGGCTGCACAGGAGGAATTCAGGTCTATCACTTTCTTACACTAGCAGAATTTAGATTTCTTTGTCACAAATGTAATGGTGATGATACACTATAAGAGTGAAACCATAAATACCATATACATACATCTTTCATGACAACGGCATTGTGTAACATCATCCCATATACTACTGTCCCTTTTGCCACTTCAACTCCAGATTGTGTCAGCTGCAAACTTGTGTACTGGTTAAAGCAGTGGTTCCCAACCTGTGGCCCTTCAGGTGTTTTGGACTTCAGGTCCCATAATTTTTAACAGCTGGTAAACTGGCTGGGATTTCTGGGAATTGAAGTCCAAAACAATGGAGGACCAAAGGTTGGAAACCACTGGGTTAAAAAAATCTTTCACTTAGTGACTATAAAGAGTCAACACAGAGACACACTCAAATTACTTTATGAAGCAAAATATAAATATAGTGTAAGTACAGTATAAGTATAGGAATTTTAGTTAAAAATCAACTAAACAAGCTGGGTTGACTTATCTATGGATCAATATGAGTATTGTATCTTACAACTGATCAAAAACAAAAGCATCCCCTTCTTTGAGTAGAGTGGTGAAAAGCAAGAGCTTATTCCATCCCAGTAGCACCTGGAAGAAGCACCAACTCCCTCTACTCTTTCCACCATGGTGCTACTTCTGGCCCTTTTAAATGCCTGTACAGGGAAATTAGTGCTTTTTTGTAATGATTCTTGATTTATGCACAGAACATATCAAAATCCATAATTTTGACCCCCAAACCACTCTCAACTTATTATTTATTTATTTATTTATTTATTTACAATATTTATATACCGCCTTTCTCATCCCTGGGGGGGCGCAAAGCAGTTTACACATAAATAATGGCAAAATTCAATGCCTTACACTGGGCACCGATACGATACCAGTACAAACAATTACGATAGTAAAACCACAATTAAGCATAAATCATAATTAAAACAATACATCAACATGTGATGTGAACTTGTACATTAATATATAGGAAATGTTTTAGGGGTTGGGACAAAGAACCACCAAGTTGTATACCTCTAGGATCTCTTCACTAGGCGCAATATCAAGTCACTAGAGTTTAGAAGTATAGTTCATTCCCACGTACTGAACATGAACAACTTTTCCCAACGCCATTTCTATTTAAGCAATGAGCTATATTCCATTTGCTTTTAAAAATGAGTTTTCTCTATTTATTGCAAGCAGTAGAAAATATACTCTGCTCTGAGAAAATACTTTTCATCGACCCAATCTAGTGCAGCTAGTAAAGGAATACTGGAATTCCAGTCCATTGTTATCTTTCACAAGAAATTCCTTTCACATAGAAAATTCGCACTCATGGAGAATTTTCTTAGAAACTCTGGTGATGTATAATATCATTGTGAATTAATTATAGAAAGCAGTTGTCACACACATTCACCGAAGAAGAAAAAACCTTACCTACATCAGAACTGTCAGTTTTTTAGACTGAGTGAAACACATCCCTTTGCTTGAATGCAGCTGCTGTTGGGGAAAAGTCTATTGTGTTCAGTTAAACTGAATACAAAATGTAATATTTGTGCTTTCAATATGCAATGAAATAAAATATAGAAGAGCAGTTTGAAATTCTGTTGTTTGTTCTTTCTGATGTCTTTGTTTTCATAGCATCCTGTTCTAGATGAGCCTATAACAGAAGCTCTTTGCATTATTGCAAATACAGATAAATGGACTGTCCAAGTGGCTACAAGTCAGAGAAAAATGATGGACAATATTAAGCTGGGCAAGGATGTCCTAGTTTCCAACCAAGTGTCTTCCTTATTGCAGTCCATTTTACACCTTTACAAACTTAATCTTCCTGCTGACTTTGTAAGTATTATTTTACAGTCAACTTCATTCAGGCATTTCACACAGGGAAAACGTGATACATATGCCATTCCACTTTGTTTTGAAATGTAGAAGAAGGGCAGCACAGAAAAGTGTATTTTCCCTGCTCAGTTAGCAAAACTAATTGCTGCTGTCAGAACTGAGACTCTGGGACTGTATTATTCAAAGTAGTGGTCCATGAACTGATGCCAGTCTACCAACTATCATCTGCCAGTCCTTGCAGAGTTTTTATGAAAGGAAAAACTAGCTTATTATTTATTTATTTACTACATGTATATCTCATCCTTCTCACCCCAGCAGGGGGACTCAGAATGGCTCACAAAAGGCAGTAGTTTGAGGCCATACATATACATAAATACAATAAAAATAAACATATGCATTAAAACTCAAAAAACAATAGCAGCATTAAAACAATGATTAAAATCATGTTATCCAGAGTCAAATCTGAGGCCATTCCATTAGCCATTTCACAATTCCGTATATTCATATTGCACTAGCTTGTTAGCCAAAAGCTTGGTTCCATAACCAGGTGTTAACTATCTTCCTGAAGGTCAGGAATGAGGGGGCTGCTCTAATTTCACTGGGAGGATGTTCCATAGCCGTGGGGCCACTTCTAAGAAGGCCCTGTCTCTCATCACCTCCAAACGTGCCTGCGAAGAAGGTGGGATTGAGAGCAGGACCTCCCCGGAAGATCTTAACCTCCGTGGTGGAACCTAGAGGGAGATACATTGGTGCCGATGGTTATAAATATGGCACTAGTCCCTCGCACACTGGCCAATGGTCACTCACATCAGATAGTATAAGAAATAGTGGACTAGGAAATCCACTATTCAAGAATTGGAAACAAGACTGCCTTTCTTGATTGGAGTCTAGTTTTTCCCCCTAGCAGACCATTGTTCCCTCTTTTATTCCTCCCAAACTATAGGTCCACCAGAAAATAATACCTTTCAATTCCAGCAAGCATAGTAGGCTATACGGTGGGACTGCTGACTGAAAGGTCAGTGGTTCGAATTCGGGGAGTGGGATGAGCTCCCATCTGTCAGCTCCAACTTCTCATGCGAGGACATGAGAGAAGTCTCCTACAGGATGGTAAAACATCAGGGCATCCCCAAGGCAACATTCTTGCAGACAGCCAATTCTTTCACACTAAAAGCGACTTGCAGTTTTTCAAGTCGCTCCTGACAAGAAAAAAATAGGCTACATATGAGGCCTAGGGGTAACTGATACCAAAATGCCTTATATCAGCCTAGCTATTCCCACTTCTGGCACTCCTGGTGATTAGTAAACTACTATCCATTGTTAGGGTAAGTATAGTCGTCGTTCTATGGCAGGGCATCTCTCTCTCTCTGGATAGTCACTTTTTAAAAGGTGTTAAACTGGACTGGTAAAGTACGGAGATTAACAGAATATTAATCTTCCCATGATTCCATGTATTTGGGTATTTGCATGTTACCTGTTGTACTAGATTCTTCTGGATTTGATCACTGTGGACTTTTTAAAAATTGACAGTGCATAATGCATCTCGAGGATCGCCTACAAGAAATATACCTCAAAAGCACAATGCTGTCTAAATATTTGCGAGGTCAATCAAGAGTCCATGTGAAAGAACTTGGAGTCGTGTTGGGGTAAGTAGTGCTAACAATGCTTTGAAGTTTGAGCATGTTTAAAAAACAACAACTACAGCCATTTACCAAACAGTTGAAACCATTAAAATATTCATGGAAAATAAGAGCGATGGTTACATAATCCATGCTTTGTCAATTACCAGACTAATCTGCTGTGATATACTGTGATCTTTAACATGGATTCTCCTTGGCACTAATTTGAAATTACACTTGTCACAGAATGCTGTCCCTGGAGATTCTATGCCCATTACCTTTTTTTACAGTAAATATGTAAAAATGTTTTTCTTTTGAGTGGAAATTTTAATTGTTATACATTCTTACATAGTCTATTTCTGCTTAGACACATGGCTTAGACCCATTTGGATTAATATAACATACTGGCTGCCTTTGGAATCTGCTTGTACACTTCAGCATATTTAGTTGGCTATAGCTAGGTTGCTAACCAAGGCTTGTTAAAGGAAGCACACATCTCCCTTGTTGAAACAGCCTAACTGGCTGCCAGCTCCTTTCCAGGCACAATTCACACTTCTGGTTTTGACTTACAAAAACCTATGTTGCTTAGGCCCATGCCAGCTGAAAGTCTGTATCTCACCATATCAGCCTGCCTGTGTTTTGATCTTTAGGGAGGACTTTATTCCCTTTCCAAAGTCATCTTCTGAGACCATGGAAGAGGATCTGCTCAGTGGCTGTTCCTATCCCATGGAACTCCCTCCGAAGGGAGGCTCTAGTTGGGCTTTCCTCTGCTCTTTTTTCACCAATAGGCAAAGAAATATTTAAAATTCAGCATTTAACCAATTGTGATAGGTGTAAAATGGGTAGATGTTACATAATGTGTGTTTTTGCTGTTAATATATTGAAAGTAATGTTTTAATTGGATTGATAACTTTTGTACCACAGGTTATGAGGCCAGAAGTCTTTCAGATTTTATTAACTTTTGAAATATCTGTATTTGCATATATATAGTGCATGACAGGGGGGCCTTGGTGGCACAGTGGGTTAAACTGCTGAGTGCCAAACTTGCTGACCAAAAGGTTGGCGATTCAAGCCCGGGGAGCGGGGTGCGCTCCCGGTGTTAGCCCCAGCTTCTGCCAACCTAGCAGTTCAAAAACGTACAAATGTGAGTAGTTGAATAGGTACCACTTCTGCAGTAGGGTAATGGCTCTCAGTGCAGTCATGCCAGCCACATGACCTTGGAGGTGTTTACGAACTACACCGGCTCTTTGGCTTAGAAATGGAGATGGGCACCACCCCCCAGAGTCGGACATGACTAGACTTAATGTCAGGAAAAACCTTTACCTTTGCCTAGTTCATGACAGATGATGGTAAAGGGGAGGCTAGTCCCATGTCCAGCATCCACTGAGTTTTATCTCAAGAAGCCCTGACAGGTGAAAGAGAAGTGGGGGAGAACTCTGCCTAACCAAGGTCTCTCTAAAAAGTAAATGTCCCAGACAGTTCCCTGCCTGATATTATCCTTCCTACCCATTCAGTCAAGTAGCTAGGAAAGGAAGGGAAAATCCTCCTGCTACACTTTTTAATTCTCTCTGGGCTAGGTACAGGTGGTGGCAAATGGAGTCACTCTGTGTTCACCTTTGCAAGTGTTTCCAGGAGGCTTGTCTTGGACGTCTGCTTTCTACAGGGGCCTTGTGTAAGCAGAGTCCTCCCACCCTCTTCCTCCTCTTCTCTTTCCTGTTAGCACTCCTTGGTGAGACCCCAGCGAGCACTGAACATAGCCCTTTTTTCCCCCAAAAAATAGAAGTGGGTAGCTGACAGCAAAAGGTTTGGGGGGTATTTTGAATTTCTAGATAAGGGGGATTCAACCTCTAGTGAACTTTTTGGAAAATACACTGTATTAATTTATCAGTATTTTTTCTACTAAGTCTGGGTTTTTTTAGAACAAATTGACTTTGAACAGTTTTCCGTTGAACAGTTATTACAAAGAGTGAAAATAAAGACTAGAAGATTCCAGTGGAGGAATCATGAAGAAATTTCTGTAGCCTGTCATTTAGCTATCCCAGTTTTAGAGTTGAAGAGTGTGTGATTTGTTTGCTTCTGCAGCATATAAAGTAGTTAAATAAATGAATGCCTTGGAAAATAATTTTGTTCCCAACCCTGAGTTCATAAGAAACTGCGCTGTTTATTTTGTCGTTTGACATTTTTAAAGCTTTGAAAAGATACATTACTCTACCCTCAGATAACTCAGCCTTCAGCACAGCAAATGTGTGCTGTTTGATATAAATTTGACAAATAAACAGCTCTAGATTAGCAAAGTGCTGGACCCTCTCTGTTACAGTATCTGAATACAAATTGTTCCTTAAAGGCTGAGTGTCTTACTGACAAGGGCTTGGAGCAACATGCTTATAGCATTCAATATTATCTTTGGGGTTTTTTGTAGGTTTATGTTGCTGTCAGGTGGATCTTGTTATAAGCCTCTGTATCACTGCACAATATTTTTCTTAAGTGTGTAATCCATGTATGCTCTCAGGAGACACTCCGGTTGCTTGGTTGCACATGACTATTGATTTCTCTTCCTCCCTATTCCTCAAAAACCTATTGTCTTTGGTTAGAACAGTTCTGTTCTTTGCAGAAGTCCCTCAGGAAAAAATTGGAAGACTTTCCACTCCAAGGAATCCCTTCCCTGTGTAGTTAATGCCATAAGTTTCATGGTGTGTCCTTTTTCTTGCCAGTCAGAATGTGATGCATGGCACAGCAGATAGGAGGAGGAGCTTGAAAACGTGGTTGTTCCAGTGTGCCTTCCCAGAATAATAAACCCTTAGCATTATGTCCTCTAAAAGCACTTTATACTGATTTAGGACTGCTTGTACGTTTCCACCAACGCCCCACCTCCTCTATCTTGTTCATGCCCAGCATTATTTTGTAAACTTCAATTACATTTGGCCCAGCCATAGATTTTAAATGTGCACTGTACCTTTAATGTTTATTCTATTTGTGTATGAGATTTATTTTAATTGCTTTTTATTGTGTTTGTTATTGCTTGTATTGATGTATTGTGGGCTCGGCCTCATGTAAGCCGCACCGAGTCCCTTGGGGAGATGGTAGCGGGGTATAAATAAAGTATTATTATTATTATTATTATTATTATTATTATTATTGATACACTTAATGCAGAGACAGGCAACCTGGCACTTTCCAGTTGTTTTGCATTGCAATTCCCATAATCTGTGACAGTCCACTCTCTCTGAAGCTAATGTTAGACTACTGTTAACTAAGCACAGATTAGATTAATAGGACCATGCACTTCCTATTGTTGTCAGTCTTGCATGAACATGGAGCGGGAGGTGTTATGAAACTGTCATGCCTCCATGTGACAGTGCTTAAGAAGCACACATAGGACTGTGTTTTAAGAAATGATTCCCACTGTGTTCACTGAGGCTTTGCTTTCAGAGAAATGGGTATGAGTTTGTAGTTTTACTATAATCTGACTTGGGCAACTTGTGGTGCTTCCGATCCTGATGCATTGCAGCTTCTGCAGTCCCATGTCATTTGCTGTGCTAAGGCTGATGGGAATTGCAATCCAAAAACATTTGAAGAGCTACAGTTGTCCACCCCAATTTAATAGGACAGCTTACATTATCTCTCTTAAGAGTTGTATTCTGTTACAGATCTTCAATGTCTACCATGGCAGAAAATTTCTTTAAAATGTTGTGTTGTTGTTTGCCTTCAAATCATTGATGACTTATGGCAACCCTAGGAAAAACTTACCATGGATTGTATTGGCAAGATTTGTTCTTATGTAGGTTTGCTTTTTCTACGAGGCAGAGAGTGTGCAACTTGCCTTAATAGGTTTTATGGCTGAGTAAGGATTTGAGTTTTGGACTCAGGTCATTGTCCAATCCTCAAACCACTACGCCATACTGACTCTACTTTTAACTTGTAGCTTTAACTTATATATTTAAAAGTGTCTATCTTTTTTCCACTCATTATCTTTAGGATTGAATCCAACGACTTGCCTTTGCTGGCTGCTGTAGCAAGTACTCATTCTACGTATGTTGCTCAAATACTCCTCTAAGCTACCATGATGAAAGCAAAAGCTTCCTTGGCAAAGGGAGTGGATTTAGGTGTGAAGAACAGCAATACCAAATGTGAAGTGGTGAGGAGTGGAAGACAGCAGGCGACAGCAATTGGTTCTGTCACTTTTACTTCTCCTGGATTTTGCCTGAACACTTATTTGTGGGTTTCCAGTTTACATAAAGTAAAAGACATTCAGGGTTTTTATACTGGCATGCAGCCTGGCATTTTAATGGACAAAACCATTAAACACTGTTGGCAGATAAACTGTTTATTTGTTGTTTTGAACCAAACCAAATGGGAAAAAACCCAAGTATTGTTTCCTAACTATTGCACTGGTCTTGTTCTGATTTGCCTCCAACTGGACTTCTTTAAAGAAAACAGCATCGCATCTCTGTGTTGGGAGGACAAGCTGGAAGATGTATGCATGAGTATGCACTTGTGTTACAGCACTGCTCTTCATTGGAAGAAGGACTGCCAATAATGAACCTGCAACTTCACTCAACATTCGTGGTTAAGAAGAACGTTCTAGCATCTCCATAGTGTTAGATGAAATCGGAAGAAGCTGCTGGAGTCTTCAGTAAAGCTACTATCTTCTACATTTATGTCAGGTCTTGAACTTGTTTCTTGGCCTTACTGAAACATCTCAGACCTGCTTATTTGTCTTACATAATCAGCCCTCAAGAATGTGTTTTTGAATCTTAAAAGCTGACATGGTGGTGAACTTGGCATAAACTCCCGATGGTTTATTTTAAAACCTAAGTATATCCTGTTGCCCTGTAGATAAGAGACCACACTTTAGCCACCCTGTGCAAGCAAGATCCGCTTCTTAAGTGAATTCAAGAAATGTACAGAAGAGATGTCACTGAGAAAAAGAAAGGTGGCTATAGGAACAGTGACAGAGAAATTCATTAAGATAATTCCAGGTATTTGATCCAACAACTTTTGCACTAGCCTCTCAGTGCCTTTCACTTGTTACGTTTTGACTCTAGAAGAGAAACGTAAATGATTTTAAAATCCAAAATATCATTTTTTTTCTGTACTAATGTAGAGTCATGAAAATCTTGGGTTTCAAACATAGGACCTTTTTCTGAACAGGTTCAGTGTAAACATGGTGACTTATCAAATTTCAAGCAACTTTCAAGTAAATTAGCTTGTGAAATTGGAACACAGAACAGTAAATCCTTTTAGAAAGGCCATTTATTAAACGGATATAAAAATAAGTTTAGAGCATATAAAATCTTCCGTTCTCTTTCATTGCTCCTTAATTCTTTATCATACTGACTGCAATTCAGAGAGCTAGGCAATACACCTAAAGAATGATCTGTCCCTGATTAACTTTTAAAATGAATGAAAATTTTATTGTCTAAACTGATGATTTGAATTCTATGGGGAAAATCTACACAAGCAAGAATTAAAAAGAGATGTCTCATCCCCATATCAACACCATGAAACAAAATTAATCAGCATTCCATATTTATATTATCTGCTATACACTTTAGGGCATATATATCCTGCCTCCACCTATTGATGCTTCTCTGTTTCCAGTTTTAAAATGTGCTTTTAAGAGAAAAGTAGAGGCTGAAAAGCCCCAAATGAAGATTGTGATGTCTAGGAATGTAGTAAAAATAGCATTATTCAGAAACATAAAACCTCCCTTCCCACTTTTTTCCCCTTGGTAAAACTACCTCAATTGACAGAATAAGCTGCCAGCAGGGGGAGCATCAAATGCTTGTACCTGTTGAAACTTCTGATGGAATGTGCTGTAAGATGTGCAGAGCATGTGCTGTACCAGTGAGGTTCCATGGTTATGTTTTATTTCTCTATGTTAAATTTTAAATATGATACATATATACATAAGAGACACTGAACATGACAAGAAAGTGGAAGCTCCTAAATCTTAACAGATTCCAAAGTGTTTTATTTTCCATGGTGTGTTAGCAGTATTTTGTACCAAAAAATGACATAAAATACCATGTTTTTTAATTTCCTGAGTGGGAGCAAATCTCTTCAATATTTCATGTACCATATTTTGCAGAGTGGATTTTCCCCCCAAAATTAATGAATACAAAAACGAATAAAATAAAATCTGGTGTCTTTTTAATAGATGTTGATCTAAGTAAACAGTTTGTAATGTATCAGTGCAATCAGAGTTTTACAGCTCAATGCCTAACATTTGAAAAGTATTGATTGGTATTCTAGGTATTCTCTTCTGAAATCAGCATCCCGTTTTGAAGGTTTGATTGTCTTTTAACTTTTTAGTCAGGTTGATAACTGTACCGCTAAAACAGATGTCCATACACTAAAATAACAGTTGCATTTTTTAGAAATACAGCAGCTGTTCTATTTGTTTCGGTGAAGCATGTTACCTGGATTAGATGAAGTAACGTGACTTTCTAGGGAAAGATGCGTATGTGTGTGTGTTGGTGTGAAATATCTTTGGAGAGAAAGTGCAAATACTGTATTATGATTGTTTGGATACCAGTGTCAAACTTCTTACTTTGGGCTGTAAATGTACAGTATCATTTATGTTGGTTTACTTGTGGCTTTAGTGCAATAAATTATAGAAATATGTTTTGTCAATGGATGGCTAAATCTGCTATTTTTAAAAGTTTTACAATGGGATATAATCTCATAGTGATACTCGAGGCAAGAACAATCCCAACAGGGAAGATGGGTTTGCAGCTGTCATTTCCCAATTCCAGGGGAAAAGATGATGGAGGAAGGTGGCTATTCCCCTCCATTCTCAAACAATTTCTGGTTCTGTTTATGTGTCCAGATAATGAGTCTGAATTATCCCAAGATTGCCCACCTTGGAATCTGTTCAATGAAACGAATACTGACTATTCTATAAAGCAGTGGGACCACTTGACTAGAGACTACTTGACCAGGGACCACTCTAACATTAGTACCAAAAGGGTTACGAATCAGTTTTTGGTCAACTTTAGATTCGGTTTGGGGTGCTGATTCAGAAAATTGCATTGGATAGACCACATCAGCTCAAGTTTCTGATACAGAACATATGCCATGGTCAGCGACAGGGAAGGAGTAGCAGGCGGCGTAAAAGGAGTGGAAATAAAATTAATAAATAAAGAGGAAGGAGGCTCACGGACCGGATTTTTGTCCTCGCAGTCCACTGGTGGTCCACAGCCCACAGGTGGTCTAGGTTAAGAACCAATGCTATAAAGCTAAGTTCTGAGATGAAAGTTATTGTCTTAAGATAAAGCCATCCTTAGGCAAGTCTAAGCTCTTTAGTAAATACTTCAATATATGCAATGAACAAACTGGGAGTAGTCCCATGGGTAGTTTGAGCCTTATGTCCCAAACAGATTCCTGACTTGATCTGCTATTGAATATAAGTGAAGAACAATCTGCTATTGAATTTAAGTGAAGAACAAAAGTCTCTTATGATTCCAGCTTATTAAAAGGCAACTTGGAGATTCTAGTTTGAATGAAATGGTAAACGAACCAAGAGTGTGGGCTTTCTGGCTTGTGTAGCTGTCCCTAGTAATATCTTTGATCATACATCACAAGCCAACATTCTTTAGAATTGTGGTTTACTGTTATGTCCAAAGCAGTCCATTTGTTTTGTAAACGTAAGGGCGTGTTTCTACACAGCCAAAGACAAGCTAAATAGAAGTGATTCTGCATTCTTGATGCACATCAAAGTTGCTTTCTTTTACTTCCAATGGTCTAAGTCTTTAGCCCTAAAATGAAAAAGAAAAAAGAATGAGGCACTGAATGGCAAATAGTCTGAAGGCCTTTGTTTTACTTCCACTTATGAAGGAAGATCGACTGAGTGGAACTGAAATGCACAAAGTCGGATTGTTGTGGGTGGGACAGCTGAATAGCTTTGACCTACTTCCAGTACCAGAGAAAATTAGCTTAATGACCACATGTTGGTAGCCTACATGCTGGCAAAAGTATCCCATAAAGCATATCCAGTCAAAGGCACATGTCTCTTTTTTCCAAGTGCCCGGATTGGGGGATGGTCTTAAGAGCTGCAAATAATTAATTGCATAGAGCCAGGAATTTGGCAAGGTCAAGATAGTGCAAGGAAGCTTATGAGAGACTGTCAGGTCTTTAAAAATAAATGTAATCTCAGCTAAATTGGATTTCTTGCATCCAGTGTTACAACAGTCTGCCAAAAGTCCCTTAGATGAGGGAATCCTCTGTGCTGATGTTAACAAGAAAGCTTCCTGTGCTGTTAATAAACTGGCAAGCCTCATATATTCTAAGAACCAATTTCATCTGAGAACAGTTAAAAGTGAAACTACAATCTCAGTACTATGCATGGATTTTTGGAAGCAAGGTTTACTTCCGAGTAGGTGTGTCAGGTTTGCAGCCAGAGTGCATAAACTATATTTTCTCTCTCTTTGTAATTGACTCCTTACTACTAGTAAACTATATCAAACCCACCTCAAAAAGGCACAGATGGCAACAACCAATGAATGTCTTTTCAGCTAACTTGGGGTCAAGTTAAGAACTTCTGGTGCAATCAATTGCTAAAGCAGTAATTCCACTTGCAAACTTAACTACCAGCATAATTAAAGGAGGAATATTCCCACCTTCATTGGATAAGGTGAAGTCTCTGGTCTAGCCATGCTTGGCATAAAGGGTTGATAGTTGGGGGAGTCTCTCCAGAAAAGGTATTGTGGATCAGGAGGAAGATACCTTTGTAAGCTGTTTTGGAGAAAGTGGCATCAATGAGAAAGGTAGAACATGCACCTCATTATTTAGAATACACTGTATTGGCTTAATGCCAGTTCCAATATGCTTTATAGATACTAACTTTGTTTAAAAGCCAGAATGTATATAAACTTGGAGCGGTTTTATTTGCAAAGCTTCTTGCATTGGCATAGGTCAAGTCTGGGGAACATGTGGCTCTGTAGATTATAATGAATGGGGACTCTGGTTATGCCTATGGGGAATGATGGCAATTGTAGTTTAACAACATTTGGAGAGCCACACATTCCTCAGCCCAGTATGGGATATTTTAATGTAATACCATGCTTCTGCATAGAAAGACCTTTTTAAACATGGTTGTTGAAATTCCTGAAATCAGTTTTCCAGGCCAATGTCTGTTACCATGATTATTGACATGGGAGATTAGAGGTTTAATCCAAAAAGGCTTATGTTGACCTTTTGTCTTTTGTCAGATTTGGTTCATGAACTTTTCCAAATGAATTTTCAATGTCACCATCCATAGCTGGCATTGCAGGGGGGAAAGGGCTTATTATTAAATCACCATCCAGGGTAATAATTATTTTCTTTTAAAATGTCATTAATGGCAGTTTCTACCAGAAAAGATTCCCCATTTGGAATTGATGGAGAAACATGGATGGAGTCAAATCACATCACAGTTCATCGGAGAGAGCTGATGGGGATAAGGCTCTCCATCCCCCAGTTTATTGGGAAATTCAGATAACTGAAAACTGGAGAAAAAAAATGTTCTGTACTACAGTTCTGTACATGGATTACAATCCATGAGAAATGACATTGTTCATTAATAATCCTTGGGAGAATTACTTCCAGCAATTAATATTTTTTGTATTGTCGAAGGTTTTCATGGCCTCACTACCTCTGAGGATGCTTGCCATGGATGCAGGTGAAACATCAGGAGAGAATGCCTCCAGAACATGGCCATATAGCCCAAAAAACCCTACAACAACCCTTTTTTTTTTGTTTTATCCGAGTCATCAGATAAGTCAATCCGAAGAGTTAAAGGGTTTAGAGAGAGCCCTCAGGAGACATCCTTAAAAACCTGTTGCAGAGAACAATGGCACTAACTGCCTTTTTAAAGTCAAAGTCTCTTTTATAGACTCTCCTCATCTAACAAAGTGGTCTAATTGCATGATGGCACTCGACTGAATAGCCACTCTCTTTCTCTTCTGATTCTTATGGTAAATTCAGTGGAAATTTTCCTCTAGGCCTGTAAGATAATGTTCATATTGTGTTTTGTGTTACAGAATACAGTAGGCAGCAACATAACATTGATGCCATGGGGCAATACACTTCTTGTCCATTACGTTCCTTGTTACTAGACATTCTCTTAGTAAAGACCTAAATAGCAGTTTTTTCAATAGCCTACAAAAGTGGCCATCTTCCTAGACATGGTCTTATCATGTGTGGTAAAATGTCTTTGCAATCTATACTAAATGTAAAAGCAATTATGCATAAAGAATGATGATAACCAAATTGGCCTTATCCATCGTATTCTTCCTCTCTGCATTACAATTATTTTGTTTGTTTTTCAGTCTGTGTATTCTGCTTCTGTGTCCCACATGTGATTCCCAGATCTCAGGGCCTGGCCCTTCTTCTCTGGTGTCAGGAGGGGAGGGAGGAATCTCAGGGTGAAAGCATAGCCTTGAATAGTATGTTCATGTAAATTCCTCATTTGTTAGATTTTGTGTTTTTTCTTTGAATGGGTTATTGCTGACAGTTACAGTTGGTGGGTAATGTGAATGACATCAACACAAGTTCCTCCTGAGACATAAGAAGAGGTCATCTTTAGGTCTTATGTTTGGCTTGCAAATCACAAGACCTGGGATAGTCCTTCCCTTGCAATTATAGTCTCACAAATCCAACATACAATGCCAACAAAGGAAATTCTGCAACATGGGAGATTGTGGCGAGGAGTTATGTAAAACACTCCACCTCCTTTTGTTCAGCTTTGAGCAAGTGAATAATAACTGAGTTCACAATGCGAAGGCTTGACAAAGAGAACTACGATTGGTTATGATAAACACATAGATGCAAACAAAAACTAAAAGAACTGATTTTGTATATCTAAGGAGTCCATCTTAAGGGGAAACTAATTTAGCCACACCCTGCTATTGCGTAGCATTCCCTGTTCTTGTGACCCAACTCCATATGATCCTTGGAAATGCTCTTACTAACAATTTTAACAACTCCTAGGTCAAAGAATTCTCACTCTGGTTAGTTTTTCTTTGTGTGTGATCCCCTGTCACTGCTATACCAGTTTCTTTGAACTCAGCTCATGGAAAATGGAAATTCAGCACAGCTTTTCACTCTTGTCTGTGTTAAATACAGAACACCTTGTGTTCCTTAAATACGGCTAGAGAATTTTCAAATAATAAGTCCAGGAATAGAGGTGAGGAGGAGACTAATAATAATTACCATCAAACAAAAAGTGGGAAGCTGTTGTGTTTTATAGCTGTTGAGGTGTAGTGTGCAATTTTGGCAGTATTATACATCCCAAGCGTTTATGTGTTTATGTTTTTCTTGAATTTTTAAAAAAGAAATGGAGGAATATATAGCATTTGTTTCATGTGTTAAAATGTACCATTTATAAATATGGTCTACAGTAAATATGTTTATCTCCTGCAGTTAAGCTACTTACCCTTTCTGAGGGAGGAGGAAAGAAGGGAGAGCACATTGTTCCACAGCATGGCTAATACTAATACTCTAGTAATGAGGTATTTAATGGTACTTATGGGGCTGGACAGTTCAACGCTCTCTATATTCTGTGTGTGCATTTGTGTGTTTTAACGTCTGCCCTTACACTTGACTTGAAATGATCCACAAAAGCTTCAGTTTTCTGCTCTGTGTGTGCCGCCTGT